TAGGGTGATCTCTGTACATCGCTTCCACCGGCAAGAGAACCACACTTGTTTTGCACATCATTGCAATTTGCAAAACCCCTAAATAGTTGTGAGTTTTTATGCAGTTATTGTAGGTTACTGAATGCCACATTCGGATCGCCTATGAACATGTGTGAAATTGCACAAGCAAGAGGAGAATATCTATCACGTGACTGTTAACAGACAAGAATGATGATACGGTTCTCTTGTTGCATCTCTGGCATTTCAATCTGTCATCCGGTAATAGGCAGCGATGACAGATTTGATTACTTTGTACGCACCATGAACAGTTCTTCTCACGAAAAGGTCACACGTTGAAAATACACGTATGTTGCACGATTGTAGTATTTCTTGGGGGTTGTCACTGTGAACACACTAAAATTAATGCATACTAGGATTTGGAACTCTTTCGGGATAAATTGGGAGTGAACGATTTGTCAAATCAAAACAAGCACTTTATGCATCCCAGTTGGGTGAAAATATTCGTTAAACACATAGCTAAATACAATTATATTTTTGTAGAAATTCACTATGTTGCTTTACTGAGAGACCGAGATAAATCTTTTGTTCTTCGATCGGTGAACACTAAACAAATTCAGTAATAACTGGTGCTACCAAAAGGAAAATGGAACAGCATTCAATAACCAGTTACACCCGGATTTGATGATTAATTGATAAATAGATATGGCTGAGGTATGACTGTTTTGTCACGTGCAGATATAACGTCATAGAACGGCAATAGACAAAATTGCCTATAAATAAATAAATAAATATATATTCATCAATTTGGGTAATTTTGGAGCAGTATGCTTTGCCCCGGAAAAGTTTCCTACATATCAACTGGTGCCTAATGTATTGGAATACGATATTTTTATGGATTGATTGATTTGTTTTGACGAAGGTGACCAGTCCAGCGAAGTAAAATCAGATCGATAAAAACAAATTTCGTTTTTGTTTGTAGTTGACCCAACAAACATTGCGACAGAATGTAGGCACAGTCTCTGTGGCAGTGTCCATCATTTGAAAATTATTTGTAATGTCCATTACTGGCGATGATTTCTGTCATGTGAGATATTACGTAATCAGCCATTGTCTGACAGTTTTTGATCTCCGCATATTGTGCTCATGGTATGTATCGACACATGACAATTAAGCAGTTAGAGCAAACTGGTTGTTTCATCGCCTCTGTGGAAAACACTAATTCTGGTGCATAAATCCGCCAGTAGTAGATCATTCCGTATTTGAATTACTGGGCATACCAACAAACCCCTTGAAATAATCATAACTTTCGGGGCATCTTCGTTACTCACGTTTTATATTAACAATTACCAATTGTCACAAAATCGTCAGAATGCCCAACTGGTCTTGACGTGGTTCGGTCTGATTTCCGAATACTGGGGATGCAAAACCGAAACTTGAGTCACTAGGTTCCCATGGTGATTTCTCTGATTGGGTGTAGTCCATTTGCCCTGTCCTTCCCTCCCGAAGAGCTCGGAATTCTGACTTAACCTTAAAAATTTCACTCAAGTACTGACCCTAAAAAGTGTCCCATGGCAACATCATATGCTTGCCTTCCCTCGGCTTGTAAACACGGTAGTCGTCGTACGCTAAAGAAGGCAGATTCTTGCTTACTTCCTTTCAGTGCCTAGGGGAAACACTATGTTGACTAATGATCCTTCATCTATAAGAGAAAGATGTAGTATTCGGAATCGGAATCGAATAGCGCGAACTCGGATTCGAACTTAAAACCCACTGAATAGCCCAGAGTCAGGTAGAACCAAGACGAGCGGTGGATATAGTTTATTCTATTCAAAAATTCAAGCAAATAAATATCACAAACATCAAACAATCATTGATCTATTCTTTAATGTCCAATCCGCAACGATACGGTTCATTTATAGGCCTTCTTGCATTCAACCGATCGGGTTAGTGCCCGTTGAGATCACACGATTAGTCGGTAAATCCGTTTCTTGATCTGGAAGCCGTATCGTGGTGCGTGCGTACGCGTTATATGATCACCATAAGAGGTGACCAACTTTTCAGATTGCCTAATTAGCTTCATTGTTCGCCCGGGTCACCAGTGTCGTTCACAATGCACCAAACGAATCGCGGAATTTCTCATAATCAGTCGACCAGCCGGATCAGCCTTCGGTGTGCTGTATTGCGGATCAGAGTGATCTCATACCCCGAGATACCCCAGGTTTTGTGATTAGGATGGTTCAGACATTTTCGATCAATGATTTCTGGTCGTTAATTTTCAGACCGTAGTTTCATCAAGGAAGTTGGTTGCATCCACATGAGGGACGGGAATTCGTGAATTGAGAACTGTCCCCCCGCCCATCACCACCGCAAGTGAATTTCACTTGTTCCTGGTCGACTAGCAGGTAAACGGATAAGGTTGTATGGAAAGTTAGAAAGCATAACTCATGAACATGAGCAACACGAAGCAGAACTTACTTTATTTGTAATCAAATGTGTTCCGTCACAGGACACTCACCGGACCATCTACCACGTTAATCTGCGAACTGATTTGAACTAAACAACAATCGAAAGTGGGATAAAGTATTGTTTCCACACTCTTTCCTCGGGTTAGTTATTTCAATTTTTTGTGTGTGTACAATGAATGATTGAATATTTTCCCGTCTTTTTCGATCGTCACTTCGGTCTGGGTGATGGTAGTCACGTGGTTAAGATCAGTAAGAAAATGATTCACCACAACAATGTCCAGCAATGCCCATTTCTGTATTTTTCAAAGCAGCTTTCGCATAGCAGCCGCAAATTTGTATATTCCATGAATAGAAAAAAGGAAGTTAAAAAAATCAATTTTACACACCATTTATCTCTTTGCGGCGTTTTGGCATAGGCTACAGGTATTGATGCCATTTGTTCAAATTGAAACTGACCGGTAGTACCGCTCAAACGGAATAATGGTTTTCGAGTGCGTTCTGTGTGTTTGGTAATGTCTTATCATCTAGCAAGATTCATACTGAAATGCCACCCGGATTGTGTTGTGAACAGAATCATCAATCCGTTTAAGAATGCTTTAAGTAATGACAGATGATCGATAGTTCCAAGGAATAAAGCGTCCCGACTGGTCGGTCACAACACAGTCTTGATAGTTGCATCGGTCGCTGGCGTCTATCCATAACAGACAGAGATTCGTCTCGATGTTTACGGTGATCGGATATGCTCCTCCTTTCCGAGGACATCATTTCTCGCCTCGCTGTCCCACACAGTGAACAGATTCCGTGGAAGCATGAAAAGAGTACACCGGAACTGCGAAGCAAACGTTACTCGTTTCCGATTCCCTATCGTGACTGATGGATTCGTTGTGTTCTGCAACTGTGCCCTGAATGCACACAATCACGAGCAGTGTGTGTGTGTGTGTGTGTGTGTGTGTGTGTGTGTGTGTGACCGCGGACTGTGTCACTGTGGGCCACTTTCTTCGTTTAAATGGCTCCATTTGACTGGGATCGAGACTGGGGAGAATGTTTAGTCCAACATTCACTTTGAGTAATAACTGAGCTCCTCTGTATATAATGATACGGGATATCGATCAAATTCTTATCATTTTTGTGAATGGAAGGATTAAAAACTGGGTCGGAAAACTGATCCGCGGTTACTGCTCCTCCTCCTCCTCCCCCCGTTCCCCCGGAGAGCTCCGGGCTGTGCTGTGCTCTTTTGCGGTTGAAAGTAAAACGGTGTGCCACAGATCCAGACTATAATTAACTGAAAACCGATTGCTTTCATGCGGGTTTTTATGTGGTACGCGCATTGCCACTGGATAACCTCGTTCCGTGCTAAGCGAAGTCAAATTGAAAAAAAAAAATCAAATGTGTCCTTATAATTATAATTATAAGTAATATTTCCTACTTTGATGAACTGTTCTATAATATGCATGGTAAAACTTGATTTCGTGTAATAATTTAAACACATACTAGTGTCTGTGTACAGGTTCTCAGGTATGGGAACCAAAAAAAAAAAGAACAATACAGGCGAGTACGATTAAATTTCCGGAATCATTTTGATAAATCTCAGCCGGTGCTTACTACAGAATACAAAAGGTGTTGCTAATCTAACATGATATCAGTTCGATCTTCCGCTTACGTGGTCACCAGAGCAACGCCAGACTGATGTAGATCTCCTTCTGCTGATATAACAGGGGCTTTCGGCGCTTGATTGCGCTATGACGTCCGCAAATCTTAGCAGTCATCTTTTCAGGATTGTGTAAACAACCCAGAACGAAGTCCCGCGATCGGTTTGGCGACCACCCTGTTGCAGATGGTGAGAAATTGATAATATATTTGCTCTATGAGACTGGCTTTATGGCTTAATGGTTGTTTGTGTAGCGCTCAATCGCATCCTCTCGCGCTCGACCCATACTGTTGTGTGTTCGGCCACCTGTGTACGCAGCTTTTCTATCCACGTAGACAGTAGTTACGCACCCAAACGGAAATTCTCAAGTATTCACCAATGAGCCACTTGTTCTGCTCCTCGTCTCGTAGTCGATGTATGTCGTGCGGTCAAAATTAAAAAGACTGTGCAGTTCTGATGCAAATTGTATGACATAAAAAAAATTCAAGTTAATGTCTCATTTAATCACTAAACTTCTCTGTTATGGAATAAATAAATGGTAATGCGCTTAATTGTCCACAAAGTTAATCTGATTGATCGAATGTTGCGTGAGACCGATTTCGCATGGTTTTTATTACAATCCAGAAACATGCGTGACGGCAGTGGTGGTCGTTCTCGGGGGNGGGGTGGGGGTGGGGTGGGAGGGGGACAGGGAAATGTGGCCGACTGCCTTCGACTGTCTGTGATAACAACCCATAGACTGTTTTTGCACTACCAATCAGTCAAAGATAGGACAGTGTATTAGCATTTACGGCATTCTATTTGTTCGTACCAATGGAAGTAATACGCGTTCATAATACACACGTTTATCTTCTCATGCGATCAGCAAATATCCCAGTAGTGATGTGGTGGGTTTCGCGGATTTTTGATGAAGTTCAATTAGTCAAGTCAAGAAGCGCCTTCAATTCGCCACATTTGGTATAAGGATTTGGCCACTACACAATCACTTTTCTGAGGGGTGTGTACGAAAACAGAACACACATAGAGACGGTAAATCAATCAATTTGAACGTAGATGCAGACGGATGCTATACTGCACCAAGGAATGTGTATAGATACGCGGAAACAAAGTAAGTTACCGATGCCTACAGCATCTACGATACCGTTCTCTGTGCACTTTGGCAACTGTTGCATCAATCTTAAGTCTCAGATAACCGCTAGTTATCCTAATAATTCACCAATTCGGATCGCAAATTGATTCGACGAGAAATTGAAGATTTTTCACACAAATATAAAAAATTAATTCGGACAGCTCACTAGACGATGTGACATAAACAGGTTTAAGAAGTTTCTATTCGTTTTCAGTAGATACATATCATCGCATATAGTTGGGCAAGAGTTTTGATGATACGTGTAGATGATATGTACACCATGAACGACACGAAAATGTACTCTACCGGATGTTTCATTCGAGACCCTAATACTGAGCCTTGGTGTCATTCATCGAATACTCTTGTCTGGTGGGTTGGGTAACGCTCACAGATTCTGTGAGATTCAGTAGTGATTAACGAATCAGCGAATGAGAAAACAGAGTGACAAATATAAATTTTGAAAAAGAAAAACAGTCTACCGATGAAACCAAATGTCGGGAACATCCTTTTCTTTTGTTCCATTTGAATAAAAACAAGAAACACAATATGAGCAGAAGTGATTATGTTGGTCATCAATTTTGCGTGCTCTCAATCAGCTGTCTACGCACATTAAATAGGTCGAAGTTTATCAGAAGAACACCGTATATGGACATTTACATAAGTACATTGGTCCAGGCAGAAAGATCTAGCTTGTTGAGTCATTACCAAAGTCATTTGGGTATGGATGAAAGAGGAGGCGGGGATAATGTTTACAAAGATTCAGAAAAGGGGGAATGTTAGCATAGAAACAGTTACGTAATGGAAAACGAGTAGCCGTAGAGGAAAGAGAGTTGAATATGGTTGCATACAACCAGAAATGAATTGGATTAAACGTAGAAAGTTAACGGAGTAAATAATTGATCAATTAAGTAGATCTGATGGAGTTATGTAATAAGGAAATGAGCAGGGTGAATTGTCATTGATGATGTAAGAGAACGGTTGAGATGATGGGAAGAAAAGGGGAGGGGAATTACCATGGTAATAAAAACTGCATCCTAAAGGCTCTTTGCACACATGGGTCGGGCTTTAAACGACTAATGACAATGTCTTCGGCAAATCTAGGCATCCTAGGGCTTTGAATTTCGACCATAACGCGGAAAGCCTTACGGTTTTCAATGCACTGTCTGGTATCCAGTAAATGTTCTTCCACAGCATATGCCGGAAGTTTCCCTCCTCGAAGTGATACAGTTTTTTGGAACTTGCTCACTCATTCTGGTCGACAGCCAGCGTTCAGTCCTTCAGACATACCGCGAACCGCAAGTACATTTATTGAATAAGATACATGCAACTGTGGGTGACCGAATCATTGGATCTGTCTATACTTGACCAAATTATTGAGTTCATTGTCCTGTGAATCCTAATTAGCTTCGCCGCAGAATTGATAGTTGAACTCAACTGTAGTACAAAGCCAAATATGGTTGAGAATCATTGTGTAAAAAAGAGATTGATTCAGAAAAAATCAGATCAGGCTTAATTGAACCGAAATGATACACTGCCAGTGACTGATGCATTCACGTGACTTGTTGATGTAAAGGAAACAGGTAAACATGATAAGCTGCGTGTGAGCCTAATGGGAGTAAATCTATTGTGTGATAGCGAACTACTCTCGGCTTTCACACCACGAAATGCATATGTAATGATTGCGGCAATCGAGATCACCGCGTTGGATTTGATACACGAAACGAGAACATTCTTGGTTCAGAAGAGTGTACCGTAACTTCCAACTCTCATTTGCTGACAAACTGCCAGGCAGAAGCTGAATCAGCTGACACAAACTACCGTCAAATTCACCACGTGACCATTCCGTTAAGATAAATCTGGCGTGAATAAATTTGATCTGTTAGACCGGAGACACCGTACCGTACCATAGTTCGTGAATTGATCACACAACCGCAGATACAAATGGGGCTGTAATTTGATTTTGAATACCATAAGTAATAATCACCCGGTTTTGTTGCACACACGCTCAGCGAAGCATCGGTGAAAACGTAAATCGAAATATTTTCCAGTGTTTTTTTTTAATAATCCAATTATCCGCGGAACATTACTTTTAATATACCACTTACTATCTTCCTCCTCTTTTCTTCAGATTCCCTTGTGGGTTTTGATTAAAGAACAAGAGAAAAATTGGCGTGGTACTTTGCTGGCTGTGTTCACGATCGGGCTCATATCTGGACTGATCATCATTGCTGCTCTATTCGTGACCTATCGTAAGTTATTTTTTCACCGCGTGTCCTCCTCCTCCCACCCAACCTACCTCCCAACGCGGTTCACTCTACTTCAGTTGTTACCGTTGTCAAAAGTTCCTCGTTCGTGTAGAACGTTCGTGTGAACTTCCTTGTTGACTGTGCATCAAAGAAGTCGATCCCTCTCTCTCTCTCTCTCGCTATTTCTCTGATCCACTGATTATCATATCTATAGCACGAAACCGCTGCAAAATGGAACAGCCAAACTAAGTGCAAAAAATAAATAAGTTTACGGGAACATTCCATCAGACTAAAGTGTACCAGGAAAACAGTTTTTGTTTCCGATGTTCGCAGCGATAGTTAACTGAGGATGTGTGCCTACCCAGGGAAACATTTTTCGGTCTGTCTGGATCACAGTCGTGAGAATGGGGTTGAGGGGGGGGGTGAGAGGTGGTTGATGAACTGGAAATATGATAAGTGAACCAGTTGTTGATTAATGGCTAGGAAGTGACCATTCTTCGGATTTAACCTTCACGCACATTCGTCAGCTGTTCCAGTGAACCATACGCTCGAAAGCACCAGACTCGAGTTTTGCTCCTATTAGAGCTCATCAGTAGTGCATTTCCATCGTCCATCCGTCCGGGATTTGAACTTTGGACCCATTTGGCATGGAAGGCGTGTGTGTTACCACAGTATTAACCAGCTGAGCCGAATTACCAATAAATGTTTGTTTCGGTATCCTGTTCCGTGATAGCCAGTCAATTCAATCAATGAATCAATCAATATCATATATCCCACAAAACTACTCACAAGTAATTATGAGTTAACTATGTACCAATTAGTTATGGCCATTCATTTTAGAAGGGGTTATTGTTTTTCCAAGTTGGTTGGATTACGTTTGACTGGTTTCACTAACCTTCAATCTATTAATCATACAATCCTTTCGTACCATAACTATGAATCTATTGGCGCGAAATATAGAAAAACTTTGACTCAAATCGGGACCACTCTCAACCATCATTTCATTTCATTTAGGATCGTTAATCCACCAGGACGCTAAACAACAATTCCTTTCAGTAGACTGGAAGATGGTGCGTGATTTGAACTTTTTTAAGAATGAAGAAAACAGAATATTCGACCGTAAGATGAGTTCTGTACGGTAAAGAGTCAATGAACCGAGGACTGAAAAGCTAGGCAGTTCTGTCCGGCTGTTTTGTCTTGATTGGGTTTCGTTAACAGTTTGAATTTATCTACCAAACTGAGGCTCAAACCCCGATCCACAAAGGTGAACTGCACGCCCACTACCAACTTGGTCACCGCGAAGCTGGTTTGATTTCATTAAAATCCCTGCAGGTCCAAACAGCTGTTCCGTGCATGCTAACTGTTCAACTAATGCTTCAACTATCCTTGGCAACGCAACACACTTAAGTAATAATCCGACAAACCATTCCCAACCACATCATACGTCGATACTATTTCCCCAAAAGAAAGCAAGCAAACAGATCGACTAGAATGCAAGAAAACAAAATGGCCGGTAGCGATTAATGTTCAATTTTGAGGGCTTTGATTCCGAGTTACAAATGTACTATGCGCTTCGAGCAGCGGCGGAGTGAATCAATAACTGATTTTAAACCCCTCGCATCGTTCCTCTATCGATCGTGAGGTCAACTGGTGAGCGCAGGTTTCAAAAAAGAGCGATGCTTTCTAATTGCCCGTTTACAAGTATGGTTTTTGAATCAAGGCGTTGCAAATGTTCTCCCTACACATGTTTAACTGAGTAAAATGCTAAATTTGAATACAATTTCACGTTCTCTTATTTGTACTTGATCGAATCGTCGTCATTTTGAAGTGTTTTTATTTGCTCAGTTCGAAATCCACTTGAGTTGTCCCGGGAGCAAGGGAAACCAACAAAAAAGGGTTTACAAAAGTGAATGCGAATGTGAACGAAATATTTCGGTGAAAAAAACACAGGCGAAATTGTGTTTATCGTGTATATTGTTTTGCTTTTTTCTTACCCCATTAACTGTATAATATCTGGATAAGTTGAACCACAGTGTTTAACCCAAACCGCTTTAAACAACCGGGATAATATAATCACGTGTTCCGCTTTCAGGAATAACAAGGTATGATTAATTGCAACGCAGTGCGATTATTTTCACGATCTGACTAACCAGACAATCAAGCAAAGTGGTATTATCCACAAGTGATTGCCCGAAAAACGAATAATTAAGAGGCTGATTTCGCGCACTAACATAGGATTACCCTGGGAGCCATCGATGCACAGTCCCTTTCATTTCAAATCATCAATGCACCACAAGTTTCGCACTTGGAGCTCATCTCATAAGAGTTTGGATGTGAGGTGAAACCTCGCCAACATCTGTAAACGTTATTCCTTAGTGCGTTATCCATGTTTGTACCATCTGAATGCTGGTAGTCAAACTGACTGCTATTCAGGTCCAAGAACTTCATCAGGCCCTCCACCTGGGAGCTGAAGCAACTCAAACAATTTTACATGAGTTAACCTTTGAAAACAAGTCCAATAAACGAAACAAGCTGTTTTTTGATAAATTCATCAACGGGCCATTACAATTATATAAGGCCTATTTGGGTTCGTCGATCTGGTTTTAATCGCATCAGACTGAGTACAGAGTGTATGCTAGGATTGTTTACCTGATATTCATCTTGATTAGTTCGTTGGTGCGTCCTCCCGGGGGTGGAGTGGATTTCTTCATCCGAGGCCATTGCCGGTTTGGAGCCCGAACGAACTGCTTTCGGTAGACCTTTATCCAAATTGATACGTATACATGAGATGAGGCGTGCACATTTAAACTGGATTGATGACGTGTTTATGCCAACCAACCGGCACCCAGCAGACACACACTCAGTTTGACCGTTCATTTGCGCGATTTCTTTGAGTTCAATTACCTAGAGGGTACGCTTTTTAAACAGAACAGTCGTACAAGCTACAGAGGATTTGCAGATGGTATCCACAAATCACGTGCAAATAGGTGTTTAATGGTGACCACAACTCAGCGGATCATTGACTTAGATCCCCATCTAAACAAGATGTAATGCTTGTAGTATTAGTAGTAGTAGTAGTGATATTAGTAGTAGAAACAGGAGGAGAATTGGTACGCATTGAACTCGGAATACGAACCACGCGATATAAATCATGGAATACGAATCACGGAATACGGACCACTGATTAGCAGTCACGGCTGTCACATAAGCACTGGACCACACTGGCACTAGCGCGCCATATCCCACGAAACTGAGACTCGAGGAAAAGGCCACAGTAGTAGCAGTTCATTTATTGGAAGAAATAAGGGAGATTAAATTATTTGTACTAAAACATGCTCGTTGGTCTTCCGGGCTTCTAAAAATCGCGTTCCTGTAGTTCTGGCGTCGTTCTGCTTCTGTCTGGTCTGCACGGTCCCTGATTAACTGGTACAATCTACCTATGGTATGTGCTCCAGAAGCACTGACACGTACGCGCTTTGTTCACGTCACCCGTGAAGTTCGGTTGATCGCAGTTGTCCTAAGACTGTAACGCCTCGCTCCAGAGTATGCGTCATCTCGTAGGCCCGAATCACCACACGAGGCCAGCCAATTTTCATGAAGGGCTAGGCGACCAATCAAATGCAAGTGGAAAAACTAGAGAACAAAGACAAGCATTGACAGGTCTCAAACATGGGATCTGCCGGTCTTTGTTCAACTGACCTTCTCCCCTCATTCATCAACACATCACACTCGATATGGGACGAAAAACCGTGTATTCCACTGTGAAAGCAACCCTTTTGGGCGAATCGTACAGACGTTTGTTCTATCGCATCACCGGTTTCATGTTCACCACGGAAAATCTTCGCCTTAGTTTCACGTTTCATCCACGAAAATAGTCATTCCATCCCCAGATCCTCTTTCCGTAATATAGATTATAAACTTGTTGTATGCCACCAAGGTGATAGTGAAACGCCTAATATTGTGGTCAGCATTATGTCCGTGGACATCATTTCGTGACCGGGTAGGAAACTAACCAGTCGTGTGGGAACCGTTGGCAACATGCAAAACCGTGACACCTCACGGATGATTGATACCGACAAACATCAAGTGATGATTTAAACTCAATAGAATAACAAACAAACATGACGGTAAAATCGCATTTCGTGATACAGTAAAACAAGACCAATCTGTGATCAATTTTTATTGCGGTTGATGAACGACGCTCCTGGATGAGACAAACACACAGAGAGACCTTGATCAGAACTACCCGGGCTCTCCAGCAGTGCGGCGGAGCGAACAGAGATGCGAGACAAGATGTCTCTCGGATCGTATTCTCGGCGCTCGAGACGACACTAGGCTTTGCGGGAGATGGCGAGAGAACGCAGGTTAAGCATCGATACCACCAAGACTCAGTGGTGAGAAAATACTGACAGATGGGTAGTCCTCCATGAGTCGACGTCAAAGAAAAACCTGTACGGTAAAGCAAATAAAATGCCATGAACCGAAAATGTCCAGTGAGATACTAGCACTCAAGAGAAAATAATACTGGCTCGATTGCACAACAGCACTTTTGTTCATGCACTTTCCACGTTCTCATGGATTTAGTTACCCCCTGCTCCACAGACCAGTTCATCATAACCACATTCATCGTCAACCAAAACAAAGCTGATTTAAATGAGCTTGAAAACCGAGGTTTTCGTACGAAGATAATAAACATTTCAATAAAGCTAGCCAGTTTGATCCGCACGACTGGGCCTTGTCAAAAATACCCTTAGATAGTTTTTTTTTAGTTTGGGCATACGTGCGTGTGTTACGCAACGGGATGCATTCTGCTCTTCCATGGTTGCGAAATCTGGCCTCTTCGAGCAGATCATGTCCTACGACTATCCGTATTCGACAACCGTTGTCTGCGCCATATCGCTCACGTATGATGGAAGCATCAAATGCATAACGATAAGGAGTCAGACGAAATGTGTTAGGATAGGACAGTCTTACATTGAGGACAACAATCTCACACTATTGTC